AAAAAATATTTGACATCTTATTAAAAGATAAGCAAATTATTCTTCCAGAAAATCACAAGATTCCACCATTCGAGCAAAGAAAAGGAAAGAAGTTCTGTAAACACCATAACATGTATGGCCACTGGACTAATAATTGTGTACGTTTCAGGGATTTGATCGAAAAGGCGATTACTGATGGTCGTCTTGCATTCGAAGAAAAAGACATGAAAGTTGACACAGACCCATTCGCTGCTCATACTGGATATGCCGAACCAGTCTCTATGGGGGTCAACATGGTGGATGTTACTGTGGAAGAGGATGAAAACATCGAGCCTATCTCTGATGAGAGACTCGAAGAGTTAATGGAGGATTTTGCCAAGGAGCAGGAACCCATTTACCCAAAGGAAGGAGATAGTTTGGTCGACTTCTTATCCAAGAAGAAAGAAGCAGACAAGGAAGTCATGTTGTGCCCTTGATGCAGTGCTGTCTTTGACAAGGCTGCTGCCAAGGCCTTCGAGGAGTCGAAAATGCTGAAAAGCTACAAAGCTGAGAAGCTGCATGAAAGGACTAAAATATATGAAGGGTCGAAGGCAGGATTGACCATGAGGCAAGTTCATATGCCTCAATACAATGCTCCAGTGGGAATCGACTATTGCGGGCATGCTGGCGCAAGATGATGAAAATGGCATCGAGAGAGTCATTTACTATTCAAGTCGAATGTTAGTAGGAACAGAACTTAGATATACCCCTTTAGAGAAATTATGTTTAAGTCTTTATGTTGCGTGTACTAAGTTGAAGTACTATATTAGGACTCGTGATGTTGTAATACTTTGTCGAAGTAATGTGATAAAATATATGTTGTGTAAACCTGTGTTACATTCTCGAGTCAGCAAATGGGCACTCGCGTTAACTGAATACTCATTAACTTTCGAGCCGCTAAAAGCAACTAAAGAACAAATAATTGCAGATTTTCTTGCAGATCATTCGAATGAAACTGAAGAAGTTAATTACCTAACCACCAAGCCTTGGCAATTATATTTCGATGGCTCGAAACACGAGTTAGGCGCTGGAATAGGTCTTTTAATCATCTCTCCCGGAGGGGTCCCGACTAAGTTATCATTCAAAACAAATACAGGATACTCGAATAATGAAACTGAATACCAAGCACTCATTACTGGACTTGAGATTCTTAAAGAATTGGGCGCTAAAAATGTGGTAATTCGAGGAGATTCACAACTGGTCATCAAACAATTAACTCGAGAGTATAAGTGTTTAAATGAAAAATTAGTTGAATTCAAGACTCGAGCTGTGCAGTTACTTGACACGTTTGGTGAAGTAGAGTTACAACACATTCCTCGGGACTCAAATCTTATTGCAAATGAGTTGGCTCAGATAGCCTCTGGATATAAAATCAGTAAAGAGTGTCTCGAATATCTGATTCATACAGAGAGTGAAGTGTTAGACCATCGAGAAATTCTAAGTATAGGTTCAACAAGTCAACAAGATTGGAGGAGCAAATTGATCGAATACTTGCGAAATCCTAATATAAAGGTCGAAAAGAAGATTAAACTCCAAGCTCTCAATTATGTCTTACTAAACAATGAATTGTACAAAAGAGGCTTCGACGGAGTTTTGTTCAAATGTCTGGGAGACCATGGAGGTTATATTGCAATGGCAGAAATTCCTGAAGGGATTTGTGGGGCACATCAAGGTGGAAAGAAGATGAAATGGGTTTTGTCAAGGAAAGGCTTATATTGGCCAACTATGATTAAATATTGTATCAAATTCGCAAAAAGGTGTGAGGAGTGTCAAAAACATGGACCAATACAAAAGGTACCAGCAAGTGAGTTGCATTCGATCATCAAACCTTGGCCATTTCGGGGTTGGGCAATGGATTTAATCGGACAAATTCACCTGCTCCTTGTCACTTTCTTTTTTGGCGAGAAACAGGTCAGGTCGGTTTTGATTTCGAAACTCGGCCAATTCCTCCATCTGCATGTACTTCGTGGCTCTCTGCCTCAGGTCGTCAAGGCATGAAAGTATAACAATAGTGTTGGTTCTTTGATTTGGAAGGTGCCGTTGACTTGCCCCGTCACTACTTGTGAATCACTCCAACACTGTAGCTTGGTGATGCCCAGGTCCTGTGCCAACCGTAGTCCTGCTAGGAGGGCCTCGTACTCGGCTTGGTTGTTGGACGTTTTGAAGCTGAATCGTAGCGATTGCTCGATCGCAACTTCACCCGAGCCTTCTAGAATGATGTCGACGCCGCTGCCTTGCTGGTTTGATGATCCGTCTACATGTAGGGTCCAAAAGTGGGACATAGAAAGCACCTGTGGTGTGAATTCATTCACGAAATCGGCCAAGCTTTGTGCCTTGATGGGTCCTCTTGGTTCGAAACGAATATCAAATTGTGAGAGTTCAATGGACCAGGCGACCATTCGTCCTACCAACTCTGGCTTCTGCAAGACCTTAGTTATAGGGCTGTCAGTTCGGACAACCATCTGATGACTCTGAAAATAGTGTCGGAGGCGCCTGGCAGTATGCACAAGAGCTAACACTATTTTTTCGAGATGCTGATATCTCGTTTTGGCGTCTTGTAGCACTCGATTGACGAAGTACACCGGCATCTATTCCATTTTTTCTTGTACCAAAACCGTGCTGATGGCTTTGTCAGGCACTGATATGTATATTATCATGTCCAGTTGAGGGTCCGGTTTGGTCAACAATGGGGGTGTCGTGAGCGTTGTCTTGAAGTTCTGAAAAGCTAACTCACACTCGTCGTTCCATCGAAACTTGGTGGCTTTTTTCAGTAAGGTCATTATGGGCCTTGATTTCTCAGCCATGCAGGGAAGAAAACGGGCCAAAGAAGCGATGCGCCCGGCCAGCCGATGTACTTCCTTTATGTTGCGATGACTTTGCATGTTGATGATAGCTTGACACTTGTCGGGGTTGGCTTCTATACCCCTCTTTGACAACATGAATCCTAAGAACTTTCCACCAGCTACCCCAAAGGTGCATTTTGCTGGATTTAGGCGCATGTGATGCCGTCTTACTTCATCAAAGATTGTTCTGAGGTCTTTTAAGTGGTCAGTGCCTGAAGTGGATTTGATCACCATGTCATCCACATATACCTCTAGACATGTCCCTATTTGGTGGCGGAAAATCTTGTCCATGAGTCTCTGGTAGGTGGCACCGGCGTTTCTCAAACCGAAGGGCATTACTTTATAGCAGAAGTTTGTCGAGTCGGTGATGAATGCTGTCTTTTCTTCATCCGGTGGATACATGGGTATTTGGTTATACCCCGAATAGGCGTCCAGGAAACTCAATCTCTGATGGTCGGCCGCTCCGTCAACCAATGCATCGATGTGGTGTAAAGGGTAAGCATCTTTTGGGCATGCTTTGTTCAGGTCCGTGTAATTTGAACACATCCGCCACTTCCCATTTGATTTCTTAACCATCACCACGTTGGCCAACCAAGTGGATCACCATGTCATCCACATATACCTCTAGACATGTCCCTATTTGGTGGCGAAAAATCTTGTCCATGAGTCTCTGGTAGGTGGCACCGGCGTTTCTCAAACCGAAGGGCATTACTATATAGCAGAAGTTTGCCGAGTCGGTGATGAATGTTGTCTTTTCTTCATCCGGTGGATACATGGGTATTTGGTTATACCCCGAATAGGCGTCCAGGAAACTCAATCTCTGATGGTCGGCCGCTCCGTCAACCAATGCATCGATGTGGGGTAAAGGGTAAGCGTCTTTTGGGCATGCTTTGTTCAGGTCCGTGTAATCTGTACACATCCGCCACTTCTTATTTGATTTCTTAACCATCACCACGTTGGCCAACCAAGTGGAGTACTTGACTTCCCTTATGAATCTTGCTTGGAGTAGCTTGGCGGTCTCTTCTTTTATTGCCTTGGCCTTTTCTCCACCCATTTTTCTTTTCTTTTGAGCGATGGGCTTGGCGTCTCGACATACTGAGAGACGGTGGCAATGAAAATTTGGGTCGATGCCCGGCATGTCAGCTGCAGTCCAAGTGAATAAATCCGAGTACTTTCGTAGGACTTGCTTAATATCTTCAGCCTCTGTTTCAGATAGTTGAGAACTCAAAAAGGTAACCTGTTCTTCATTCATTCCAAGCTGGAAAGGAACCGTTGTCTCTATAGGTTCGACCCTATCTTCATCCTCCATTCTTGGATCAAGTTCTAGGCCTTCAACTAATTTCTGTGGGCCAGCATCGCCGATGACGTTTACATCTCGTCTTGGCTTTGGGGTTGGTTGTACTTTTAAACTAGCGAAGTAACATTCACGTGCTGTCTTCTAATCGGCATGCGGTCCCTTCCTCTGATGGAAACTTCATAAATGTGGGGTGGAGACGATGGCTCGGAGCTTGTTCAGGGAGGGTCTGCCTAACAGAATGTTATACGAAGTGTTGGCATGCACCACCACGTAGCGCACCTTGATCCGCCTACGCTGGTCATCCCCGAAGTAGGTATACAGGTCTATCGTCCCCCGGGTGTCCACCCGTTCACCCGAAAACTCTACCAAAGGTTCATCGTAAGGCGTCAACTCTTGTTCTGGAATGCCCAGTTGCTCGAACGTCTTCTAGTACAAGATATCCGCCGAACTTCCCTAATCAACCAGAGTCTTCTTTACGATACAATTATTGATCTCTACGCTGATGACCATGGGATCATCTTGCACCGGGTCAATGCCTTGAAAATCTTGGTCAGTGAATGTTATAGGGGGCATACGGATGGGGGACGCCCACCCTATAGCGTTGACCGACTTGATGGCCCTCAAATGTCTCTTCCGGGCTGAAGATGAGCCTCCTCCTCCCACGAAGCCTCCGGCAATAGTGTTTATCACTCGCCTAGGCTGATTGCGGTCTCGCTGATTATTTCTATCTTGGGACCTGCTGCACTCACGGGATCGGTTCCGTGGAGGTGCTCGATCTCGGTTGTCCCTTCTGTACTCCCCTCTACCAGGGCGGTAGTCGTTCCTTCTGTTGTTTGTCGACCGAATGAAGTTCTGAAGATGGCCGGCCTTGACGAGATCTTCGATGTGATCCCAAAGGGCAGAGCATTCTTCAGTAGTGTGCCCCCTATTCCGATGGAACTGGCATGTCTTCGTCTTATCGGCGCGAGGCGGGGTCATAGCTCTTCATGGAACAACTAGTACTTCTGTGGCTAAAGCCTGCTCTAACACCTTGGCCCTGCTGGTGTTAAGCGGCATGTATTGCGTATACCTTGGGCCTCTGTTATTCTTCTCACGATCAGTTATGTCTCGGGGGCGGGGTCTGGGAGGCTCCTTGTCACTTTCTTTTTTGGCGAGAAACAGGTCAGGTCGGTTTTGATTTCGAAACTCGGCCAATTCCTCCATCTGCATGTACTTCGTGGCTCTCTGCCTCAGGTCGTCAAGGTCTCAGGGTGGCTTTTTACACAGACTGTTAACGAATGGCCCAGGCCGCAACGCCGTGGTTAAGTGATGCATTGCCACGGCCGGGTCCAAATCGCGAATAGACAATGTCATCTTTCCGAACCTCTCCATGAAAGTCCTCAGGGGTTCCTTCTTTTCTTGGCGGATGTTAACCAGTGCTATTGACGTTAGCTGATGCGGACGGCTTGTGGCAAACTGTATCACGAACCGGGAAGATAGGGCCGTGAACGAGTCTACCGATCCGGGAGGAAGTCTCATGAACCAATTGAGCGTTGGTCCTTTCAACGAAGTAGGGAAGACTTTACACATGATCGCATCATCGTCGGTGTACAAACCGACCTGGGTGACGAACGCATCAAGGTGTTCTTCTGGATCGGTGGTGCCGTCAAACTTCTCCAGGGCCAAGTTTTTCTAATTGTCGGGTAGACGGGCTCTGGCAATGTTCGGGGTGAATGGGGTCCTTCCTTGTCGTCGCTGCTGATCGAGAGTAGTAGTCGTCACTCCTGCTGAGTGCTTAGGATCCCTCATTTCTTTGTACCATCCGGATGACTCCCCGTGGTCCCAGGTTGATTGGGTGTTGGGGATATCATGGGACGGATGCCATGACTGGTTATCACTTCTGAGCTTGGCATTCTCTTTTCTCAAGATCGATAATTCATGGGCGTCCTTTTCTCGGAGCCTCTTGAGTTCCATCATTTCGGCCTTCAGCTGCTCGATGGCCGATGAAGGGTTGGGTTGCTAGGACCGGTCCACATATGATTCTTCCATTCCCTCCTAGTTCTGATTAGTTGGCTGTCTAGTGGTGTCGCGGGGCATCCCGAATGGATAGTCGGCTGCATTTTCTTGCTGACTTCTTGTCATTACCATCTTGCTTCAGGGTCGAGAACCGTTCTGGTTTCGGCCCCACGGTGGGCGCCAAAATGTTCCTGCGTAGAAACACTCCTCTCGTCGCTCTTTCTTCTTGATCTTCCAAGTCTTCGGTGCCGACCGAATACTGTCTCCCAAGGGGGGGGAGGGTACCTGCAAAGGCACTCCAACGATCAAGTAAGTATTCGTTATAGAGCAATAAGTGCTTTTATATGGAATAAATCGTACCTCATTTATGTCCCATCACCTGTGTATTTATGTGACATGTTTGGGCCTGGTGGGCCTTTTGTCTTGGGAGATGGGTAACATTTTAATTAACCTTAATCTCCCCTTAATCAGGCATGGTAATTATTGTATAATAGGTATCTAATTTGCCACGTGTTCATGTGAGTTCTCCTTACCTTAAGTCCTTCGGTCACGCCTAAGGTCGACGAGGTATTCGGCCTGGCCTAGGGTCGAAGGGGTATTTGGCCTGATCTGAGACTGAGGAGGTGTCCAGCCTGGCCTAGAACCGAGGGAGTATTCGGCTTGGTCCAGGGCCGAAGGGGTATTCGGCTTGATCTGGGACCGAGGAGGTGTCCGGCCTGGCCTGGAACCGGGGGAGTATTTGGCTTGGTCCAGGGCCGAAGGGGTATTCGGCTTGGTCTGGGACCGAGAGGGTATCCGGCTTGGTCTAGGGCCGAAGGGGTGTCTAGGGTGGATTGGATATTTGCAGGATGCTGGTTTGTACTTGGGCTGAGGGGGGTACTCGGCTTGGCCAAGGGCCGAAGGGGTGTCTTTCGGTTTTGGTGTATTCGGCCTTTGATCAGGTCAAAAGGGGGGTGCCTACTAGTACACTGCCCCCCCAAGCCCAAGGATGGAAGACAAAGGGGTTTGAGTAGGTTTGGTGGGTTTATAGGGTTTCCGTAACAGAGGTCGGAAAAACTCATACTTGAATAGAGCTCTGAAGCACTCTCCGCCTGCGCATATGGCTTTCGTGCACGGAATCGTGTTTGGGTATGGTTGCTTCTTGACCACTCTTCTTTTTCCTTTGTAGATTAGGATTAGTTTAGTTTAATGTCTCTTGTAAGCACTTAACTTTCATTCACATACGTTTCTGATGATGTTGTGATGTTTACTATTTACGAACCATGATTTGTATTGGGAATATATGTATTGTTCATTTGGTTCATATTATTGTTTGCGTGCATGAACGTTGCCTGTTAATATTAATTGAGGAACATTTGGAAACAAGTAACTTCTGAGACCTCTACTTTACTCCTAATTCTCAATAACGTGGTTATACAGTGAAGTACCTAAATTGAAACACATTGTGTGCTAGTCTAAATAAAAAGAACCTTTAAAACGAATCCCACCGCAAACAATAAGTATACAAATAAGATAACATAATCCTTGTTCTATTATTAACTCTAAAGAAAATGGTATAAGAATAATAAAAGTCATGTGAAAATAACTTTGTTAAAATAAGAATTAGTCTGATATGTGCATTGTACCAGAACAACATTACTTCTTTTACACCTAAATTGATACACTTTATCTTTAACCTGCTGCTTTTGGGAGAAAACGTGAAAGTAAAGGTGGCTAGAAACCTAGAAGTGAACATTGTTTGAAAATCTTTTAAAAGTGATGGGTGTAGGCTTTAGGCAAGTGTAGAAACAATATGATAAAAGATTCTTTTTTCTTTTATTTTTTAAGGGAATACAAGTTTCATTCAACTTGCCAATCAGTTTGTTTGAATAGGATAAATAACAAAAATATTATATATGCCTCATATGAATGTCTGGAGAATTGGAAGAAATTTTCTTGTGAAAAAAGTACTTCAAGTTGTGTTATTTATCCCATTCAAACAAAAAGGTTGGCAAATTGAAAGAAATTTGTCTTTCTTTAAAAAATATATAAGAATCTTTTACCATATTCAACTTTATCTTCAACATGCTGCTTTACCTTCAATATCAGATATAATATTTTCAACAGTACACAACTCTACGCATGATACAGAAAATTCAAATGCAATACTGTACAGAAAACTGCACTAGTTTTATAACACGGTGGGAGATACTATATTCCAAAAGTCTTTTTTTTTTTAAAATCCTCCAAATGCTATTTGGAGATAAGTACAAAACAAGTCATATGTGAGTTCAACAGAGATATTTAAAAATGAAGATGCTCCTCCAAAAATATATAAATAACAATCTGTCAACAATATACAACTGTATACATAATAGCATATCAAAACTTTGTCTCGAAAAGAACAAATCAAAATGCAAATGCTACACGGTACATAGTTCCCGCTAGTTTTCTATGATTTCTACATATGAATACCGTCAACCTAGAATACTTCTTTTATTGACCAAGAATCAAGGAAATTTGTGTAACTTATTCCAAATAAGAACAAAGTTAAACAAGCTCATTGTAAATGATTGTAGCCTCAATTCTCTTATATACTTTGGTACGATTTTCTAATTGCACCAATCATTTACAATAAGATTAATCATTCATAATAAGATTGCTTAACCTCATTTTTTGCTTAAAATAAGTTAAAAACCCCTTATAAATTATATATACACTCAAAATTCAGGGGCTCATTTCAAAAGGAGGGTAAAATTAAAAAGAAAACTGTATGCTTTGTACTGTAGAGTGAAAGTGAATCTAAAAAAAATGAACAGAAAGGGAAAAATGTAATGCTTTCATCTCCCTGTGACCATTGTGACTGTCAAATTATTTGACACATCAAGGCCTTCGCTATGAGATTCTCCATCATCATATTTCCTCATGGAAGTAAGCAAAGGTTGCTTAGGCAAAGGGAGAGCCGTGGCTTCACTTTCCAGCATCAACACCACAGAGGACATGTTTGGTCTACGAGAAGCTGAATCTTGCACGCATAACATTCCTATGTGTATGCATCTCAAAGCTTTACTCTTAGGAATTGAATCATGAATGGAAGGGTCAACAAGATCCATTACTCTCTGTTCACTCCAAAGGTGCCAGGCCTACACCCATTTTTCATCATAAAGCATTAGCTTTAACCACTCAAATAAACCAAGAATTTTAAATAGGATAAAACTTGGATTATGATATTGTTGATGTTGTTTTTCAATCAGAACTGAAATCTCAATTCACTAATACACATTGACATTTAATGAAAATATTTATTATGCATGTTACTAAAATCAAACTCTATCTAAATCTTGTCCTTTTAAATAATGTTAATTTCACAAACATTAAATGCAAACTTTTCAAGACACCTTCGAAATTTCACTAAGATATTTGGCCACTTTTCAACCAATACCATAAACTTGCAATGACATGAGTGCTAAAGCTCCTATGTATATATTCATGCACAAGTTATTTTAGAGTTTAGTCACCAACTAATGTAAATACAGTTACTCACATATCCTATGAGACTTGATTCATCTGTGTTGCGAAAGCTAGTGTTCCTGCGGCCACTCACAATCTCAAGTAGCAATACACCAAAACTGTAGACATCAGATTTAACTGAAAATAAACCTTCCATTGCATATTCTGGGGACATATAACCACTGCATCACAAATATAAGATATTATATTGGGATTAATTTGTAGTCTAGTTCTGGTTAGAATTAAGAGAATGATTTATCAATCAAGTAAAATCAAAGCAAACTTACTATGTACCAACCACTCTGTTTGTGTTGGCTTCATTTTGGTTTCCGCCAAATATCCTGGCCAAGCCGAAGTCTGAAATTTTTGGATTCATGTTTTCATCCAACAAAATGTTACTTGCTTTTAGATCGCGATGAATTATTCTAAGTCTTGAATCCCGGTGCAGATAAAGAAGCCCTCTTGCGATGCCCTCAATTATTTCAAAGCGTCTTGTCCAGTCTAGTTGTTCTCGCTTCACTGGATCTGCCATGATGTTATAAGAACAAGCCAATTGTTATGAACATGAACTGATAGCTTCTGTTTCATACTTAAGATGCAGAAAAAGAATATGCATAGTCAATGAAGACATACCAAATAAAAAGCAGTCCAAGCTTTTGTTTGGCAAGTACTCATATACCAGTATCATTTCTTCCCCTTGAATGGAACATCCCAATAGTCTAACAAGATTTCTATGTTGTAGTTTGGCTATCAGCATCATTTCATTCTTGAACTCCTCTAAACCTTGGCTAGATTTTCTTGAAAGCCTCTTGACAGCTATTTGCTCTCCCCCTGGAAGCTTCCCCTGTTAAATGAAATAAGCGAACCTATTAACCTTGCATTACAAAAAGAGTTGTGATATTGCTATAATAACTCATACAATAATTTATATAACAATATTTTTTCTCTATGTCTATTTCATTCACATCACCCATTACATCTCATACTTCTATGTTTCTCTCCTATTATCATACAACTTAATAACATTATTCTTAAGGTAAACCAACACTTTAAATGCTAAATTTTTACCTTGTAGACAGGACCAAATCCCCCTTGTCCAAGCTTATTTTCTTCCGAGAAATTGTTTGTTGCTAGTGCAAGGTAGCTAAAATTGAAAAATGGAAGTTCTGCTCCACTTAGCTGACTCCCATCCAAGCCTAAATCAGTTGATTCTGAAAATTCTGCTGATAAGTCTGTACTCCTCGTTTGATCATAGACTGGCACGTCGCTATTGTTGTATCCAGAAGCTGATGAAACTGTTGGCAAATAGAAAGGAAGAGAGAATATATATGTCAATAATAAGAAACAGTGCGCAACACCTTCTCATTCATTCATCAAAGGGATAAAAACATTACCAACGAAAAATAAATATATTACCTTTTTGTTTTGCCTTAAACCTCCATACCAGCCATACAACGATTCCAATGCAGATCAGCCCCACCACAACGGCTAATATTATCCAAATTTTTGTCCTTTTGTCCCCATCGCCTGTATTTGAAAACAGAGAAATCATATGCTGTAATTATAACCTGACAATCAGGGAAGCCTGTGAGAAATTGTGTGAGATATCAAGTGTGATTTTCTTTATCATCATATTCATAGACAACAAATTAACAGATATTTTTCCCCTGTATGCTTATAATGGATTTGTAATCAAAATTAAAATCTTAATGGAAAAAAATGACACTTTACCCTACCTAAATCAGAATCAGCAAGACGGATGTTGAGTACAGTTCCAAAGTTTTCAGAGTATTGAACATCAACTAAATCCCCATACCAAACCATGCACCCAATTCCAAGAGTATATGAATACGCGGTACAAGAACTATTCTGCAGACAATTCCTCTGGCAATCCTCATCACCAGTATCATCCACCAACTGTGCGAAATCCGGCAACTTCATACTGTTTAGCTTCAAGAAACCATCTTCTCCAACACTAACCTCAGTTCCAGATCCATTACCTCTCTCACTCTCAGCCTTCAGTAGAGTCATCCTCTCACACCCCCTTGACCAATTCCTACTATTCCACTCATCCCAATTCCTTGGCTTAAACTTCTGCATGCAACTACAAACAGGTGATTTAGCCATATCGCACACTGCAAAACTGCCACAATAATTATACTCCTCACACTCATTATAAGGCTCATATTGTGTCTGTGTCCAATTTTTCTCATCTTCATTCCACAACAGCCGTCTTTCAAACCCATCCCAACTTATCTGAAACCTCACCGTATCATCATTCCATGTATATACAAAGTACTTCTCTCCATTAGGGTATGTATTAAGTCCAAAACCAAATAGAGAGCTTCCTGTCATATTGGACACACCAGTGAACACTCTTTGATCCCAATACCCACTTCTCCACCTCCTTTTCTCTCCCTCCAAAACCAAAATCTGTGGTGTTGATCCCTCAGAAGCAACCCCCATTGTGTAGTTCCCCGGTGAAGGATCCGTCGCTGATTTCCATGACCTGAAGGAACGTTTCATGCTCGTTCTATCACTAGCTGGCAGTTCCATTCCTGGCAGATACGTATCAGTAGGGTGGTCAAAGCTCTGCCACACATCTTTGTCGTTGTTTGAAAGAACAAGGTTCCCATTGTCACGTAGAACAGCTTGTGAGTTGTTCACCGGATTCGAGTTCGACAGGTTAAGGTTACTTGACCAAACCTCGTTCTCTCCATCGAGGACAACCAAGTTGCCGTCACTTTTGATTCTGATTGAACCTCCTCTTCCTTTGATGGGTTTGTCTCTATTAGCAACCCACACGTATGTTGGAATAGGAACCTTGTGGTACCAAATCCCAACGTACCTTGAAGAGTTATGAAAACCGAAGAAACCCATTTCGAAGTTGAGATCTTCTGACACCAAATTGTCAGCACCATCATCATCGTCTCTGATTATGTTGTCCGTGATGGAATTGGCTGCATGGGATAACAAAGTGAGAAAACAGAAGAAAAAGAATAAAAGGAGCAGAATAGTTGCATGGTTGTTGCGTGTGGTGATCATGCCCATGTACTCGAGATTTCAGAGAAAACTACGTGGATTGGCGTTTGGGTAAGTAATAACAAAGATGAAAAGTGAGTAAATATTGAAGAAGAAGAAGAAGAAGCTTCAACGCCGCCTAATGCTGCTAAAATCTGACCAAGTAGGTGCCACGTTGACATGAATGGAGAAACTAGAGAGAATAGGTTTGACCAGTTTAGGTGGTGACGATGAATAGGAAATTGTAACTTGTGAAAGCGGACACACAAGTAGGTGAAAATAAGGAAAATTGAAGCACGTGGTTGTTAATGAAGGACAATTTGAAACACGAATATGAGAATTTTCTACGTAGAAGTTGTACCTTCTTAATTGAATATAGGAAAATTCTAGGTACCCACTATAATTGTGGGGTACAGCTACAGTCCTCTAATTTTTTTTTATTGTAATTACTTGTTTTATTTTTATTTTAATTTAGTATTTTTAATAATTTATCTTTATAAAATTTTCTGTATTTTTATATTATTTTTATATTTTTTAAATTTTATCTTAATATAATATGTATTATAATTAAATAGTTTAATATTAATATTTTGTTAATACGTTTTATTTTTTTTTGTTAATTTTTTGAATTTATAGTATAAATTAGCTTTTTAGTTGTATTATTTATTATTTTTCTTTTGTATTTTAATACTTTTATAATATTATTATATTTTTTTTAATTTTTTAATTCTATTATATATAAATAAAATTTGTTATGAAAATTGATCTTTTAATTATTTTTTTTGAATTAATTTTTTTGAATTAATTTTTTTGATTAATTCATCTTCTATAAATTTTTAATCTAAAATTTATATTTTTTTAAATTTATTTTTTAAAAATTTATTTGTTCATGTAATTTAAAATATCAAAACCTTTTAATTATCATAAGTACATAGCGATTCCCCTGAATATATTCTTCTACCCTCGGAGTTGATTGCATTGAATTAATGAATTTTATCGTGACTAATATTATTGACTTTAACAGCTCCCACTAAAATATGGGAAGACTCCAGGTACCAACCTTGGATTGGAATGTTTTCGCCTTTGGTTCACGTCATGGTAGATTTTCAACCATTAACAAAATAATAATATATAAAATTAAGACTTAAATATATTTTTAATTCTTTAAATTTAAGATAAATTTATTTTTAATCTTTTAAATTTTAAAATTATTATCTTTAATCCTTATAATTTTTAAAAAATTTATTTTAATCTCTCAAATTACCAATAATATATTTAAGAATAATAAATTAAAACGATTATGTAATATTAACTGGATTTAATGTGATACTTTTATTAACAGAGACACCAATAAGTAAATTTTATGTAATAATATATGATAAATTTTTTAACAAAATTTAAAATTTACCCCTCAACTTTATTTACCCCTCAACTTTTAATGTTTTTTAAAATTTCATTACTTAACTTTCTCTTTCTCTTTAGTATATTTTCTCAATCAATTTTTTAAATTTAAATATTTTATCCTATTATTAGTTGATCATTCACCTTCATTAATAGACTCCTAAATACTAATGCAATAAGTATTGTTGATGTGGAGTAATTATCTATCAGGATAATAATGTGGAAGTATTTTACAATTAAATGTTCGAGTCAAAGCCAAATTCTTGAAAATTAAGCTTGACTTATATATTAAAAAAAAAATTGATTGTCTAAATTTGACTAATTTATTTAATGAAATCTGATTGAAAGTTTGAGATTTACCTATTTTTTTTTTTTTAAAAAATAAGTTTGAACTTGCATTGTTTAGTTGATTTTTAACTTAACTAACTATTTTTGCTTTTATAATTTTTTTCTTAAATTATTTTTTAACTTGATCAATATAACATTTGATAATTATCTTAATACTAGATAATTATGTACTAATAGAAAAATATATTTATCATGTGATAGGTTAAATTATTTTATACTAATATATTTTCATAATTTAGTAAATAAAAATTATAATTTATTGACTATTACAAGAAAGAAACTTTAAAATTAGTTTAAGATTTTTTTAAGAAGAAACAGTTTTTTTTTATTTCAAGAAAATTGAAGTTAATAAAATATTCAAAGTTGAGATAACATGTGTTAGAGAGTTTAATGCAAAAATATATGAGATCAATAGAATGAAATTTGTACTTAATATTAAAAAAAATTAAATGTTTTCATAAAAGAAATATAAACAAGCTATTGAAGAGTTTTTTTTTTTTAATTTGAGCTTAGATATTTTTTTTTGTAAAGATAGGAAAAATTATAAAGATGGTCACAATGACAATTGAACCTAGGTCCTCATGTTTTTAACTACCCAAACCCCTCCACACCTAACCATTAGGCTAATCTTAGTGATCAGCTTAAATCATTTAAATTATAAGCATAATTTTAAGCTTAAATTTATTTAATTAAAAAAAATAATTGAACAAGTAATTCACGAATCGAATCCAAATAGTTTGCGTCATTTAGAGTTTCAAACTCGGATTGGGGACCGAAACCCCAAAATGTTCCTGCGTAGAAACACTCCTCTCGTCGCTCTTTCTTCTTGATCTTCCAAGTCTTCGGTGCCGACCGAATACTGTCTCCCAAGGGGGGGGAGGGTACCTGCAAAGGCACTCCAACGATCAAGTAAGTATTCGGTATAGAGCAATAAGTGCTTTTATATTGGATAAAGCGTACCTCATTTATGTCTCATCACCTGTGTATTTATAGTGACATGTTTGGGCCTGGTGGGCCTTTTGTCTTGGGAGATGGGTAACATTTTAATTAACCTTAATCTCCCCTTAATCAGGCATGGTAATTATTGTATAATAGGTATCTAATTTGCCACGTGTTCATGTGAGTTCTCCTTACCTTAAGTCCTTCGGTCACGCCTAAGGCCGACGAGGTATTCGGCCTGGCCTAGGGCCGAAGGGATATTTGGCCTGATCTAGAACCGAGAAGGTGTCCGGCCTGGCCTGGAACCGAGGGAGTATTCGGCTTGGTCCAGGGCCGAAGGGGTATTCGGCTTGATCTGGGACCGAGGAGGTGTCCGGCCTGGCCTGGAACCGAGGGAGTATTTGGCTTGGTCCAGGGCCGAAGGGGTATTCGG